GATCTGAGGCGCCCCCCTTGGTCATCAGTTTGGTGGCCTCCTATTTTTCTGCTCACGGAGGGCGGTTGCGCTGATCGGATCTGTTCCCAGCCCTGGAGTGGAAACATTGAGGTTGGGGCCGACTCCACGATCTAAAGCCACCAGAAGGCAACAAACTCGAAACGATCAAGGCCCTTCGTCTGGATGCTGCTGGAAACCTATGTTTCTACGGAATAAGGCCCTGCGGCCGAGAAGCGGTCGTTGGACATTGAACGAAGCGGCAAACGAGCACAGTTACGGAGAGCGGAAAGGGTGGACACAGGGACTGGGGTCCCTAGGGGCCCTCGTGCAAGCCACAGGGGGACTTCGGCGGGGGGCGGAAGGTAAGACAACGAGCGGCAGGAGGAGGACGCACGTGAAGAGAGGTGCGCACGAGAGGTGTCAAAGAGTGACAAGGGGGGTGACGACGAGGAAGAAGGGCAGTGATATGTAAGCATCGCTCCCAGGGGGAGGGAGGGTGGCAAGTAGGGAAGGAGAGGCCAGGGTGGCATTCAGGATGGATTTACGATCGTGGCGTGAAAAACTCTGCCAACATCCTTGGGCTATTTCTGGACGGGGGGGGGTCAGCTCAAAAACGTACGGCCCATCCAGGCCCCTTTCTGCCCCTTGCCCCCCCGTTGCCGCATTCTCTTCGCAACCCAGGGCGGTGGCGATGGTGGAGGGGAGGAAGTGGCGATGGCAATGATGATGTGGATGGTGATGATGGTCTCCACTGCTGCATCCCGAACTAGCCAACGCTGCAAGCACAGACGAGTCGCAAGCACGGAACGAAGACTGCCAGACTGTCGAGCGCCAGGCTAGTGCGAGAATCTCGCGTGGTCGTCAACTCAACTCGAGCTGTCCTGTTGAATCGCCTCGGCCTGTTGATGGCCGCTTCAGGCCCTCATGAACTCAAGCGCCTTCGTTTTCACACTCTCGTGCAACTCTATCTCAGGAACGTCTCCGATCATGTTGCTTGCGCGGTTGAGCTCTTCCTCCACGCGGCCCTGGCGCTGAGCTAGGCTTGTTTTCTTATCCCTCGAAATGTTGTGGATGATTTTGAGCTCAGCCAGAATTGAATCGATGCCCCTCGTACCCTCGACGACCGCCTTCTCAAGCGGGCCGAACGTCGCATCCGAGCTGAAGTCAATGTGCAGGTCGCTCGCAGACTTCTTGTAGTGTTTCAATGCCTCTCGCGCCGCCAGGCGCGTCTGCGAGAGCCTCTTGTTCGAGCCCTTCATCTTCGCAGAGAACAGCGTCTCCTCGGCCGCTGAAGCTACCTCATCGTAGGTCATCCTCGCTCTCGCTGCGGGATCGTTGCACCTGTAGTCGCCACCATCGAGTAGGCCTCCTCGCAGGAGGCGCCGAATGCCACCGCAACGCCCCCCCACTGCCCCTTCTCAAACCTGTGCCTCGCGGGGCAGTGGCCTGACAACGTGCAATGGGGCGAACGATGGGTAGGATTCGATGCCCCCCCGATCCTTTTTGCTGCTCCACCTGGTCGACCGCCTTGCTCAGCGCCTGCGCCTCCGAAGCCAGTGCTGCCACGGCGTACTCACTCAGGGCCGTCTGGATGTTCGCGGCTACGCTCTCAGACATCGACTCCACCATGAAGAACTTGGAATACTTAGACTGGATGGCTGCGTCGCTCCAGCTCTCGCTGGCGCCCAGGACGATCTGCGACTTCCAAGGCTGGCTGCGGTCGGACTTGTAAGAAGCCCACAAGTTCTCGTACGAGTCGTTGCCCTGATCAGATGCCGCCTGCTGTTCTGCATTATCACCTTCAGCTTGGAGCTCGAGGAAGCACGTGACGAGAGTCGCCTTGTCTAAGATGAGGCCCCCCAAAACCTTGGCCTCCTCGTCGGCTGGCTCGGGTTCGGGCAAGAACGAAAACACCTTCCCCGTCAAGAGGTTCATCATGTCTTTGATCCGGGACAACGCCATCACCCACTCCTCCGCAGTACGCCCACCAGCAGACGAATATGACCCCAGCGTTGTCATCGCAAACGAGGTGCCTGCGTGCACAGCCTCCCGCACGGCGGCCACCTGCTCCGCATCGGTGAAGAGGAGGTGCCTCTGGTAGCTCACTTTCTTCAGCACGTTCGTCGTCTCGAGGTTTGGGTTGGCAGTGAAGGAGGCCAGTGCATCAAGCATTCTCTTCGAGCTGTCGATCTTCTTCATGTCCTCCAGCTTCGCAAGGGACACGCGGCGCATGGAATCCAACTTATCCCCAACCCAAGAGTTCTCGGGGAAGGCAGTGGCGTTGCAGATCTCCTCGACGAAGTTGTCGATGCCCTTCATGTTCTCGACGTCGTCGGACACCGCGTTGGAGATGCTCTCGCCGAGCCACCTCTCCATATTATCAAACAGTTTGTGCCACCCGCTGTCGCAAGACAGTGGCCTGCACAACTTCGTCATGCGGTTGAGCTCGGCCACGATCTCCCTGAACCTGTTCTCGTCGTTGATGTCGGTGCTGAGCTCA